GTTCCAGAATCTGCTCCGACCATTGGTGACTCTGAAGCAAGCCTAGTATCGGTTGATACGCGAAGATTGTCGAGCGACGGACGTAGGTCAGGGTGGTTCGGTTTGGTGTTGTCAGGCAGGGCTTGCTGAGCCCAGTTGACGAGAGATCGGAGGATTTCGACCAGAGCCTCGAGAGACTCCTGCTTCATTGCATATTCTTGAGGGTAGCCATGTTCCGTGTCGTGTGATGAGTTCATGGAGACGGTCGTCAGTGATGGTGGTAATGTGCCTCGGCTCTGCCAATCCATCTGTCTTGATTGCTTCTCTCGTTGGTCCTGGTACGCTTGCTGTTGCACAGGTGTGATGGTGACGGGGTTGCTGGAGATCTTGGACAAGTGTTCGACGACGCGTTGGAACATGTTGTCAAGTGCGGTGCGATCGCAGTCATAGTTGAGATAGATCTCTACTAGTGCTCGGGGGTCTGCTGCCAGCCTTCCGAATATTGTCAAAATGTATTGCTTTTGGAATGCAGGAGCACTCCGCTTGTCTAGAGTTGCGAGGTAGATTTCCTTTAGGAACACCTCGACTTCCTTCTTGAGTGATATGCGCAGGTATTTAAGCATCTGCCAGAAAATCTCGCAGGCAACTTCGAAGACGTGCTTCACGGAACTTGCACCGTTCCGGCTCAGGCTCAAACAAAGATACTGTTTGACTGCCTGTATGAAGCTCGTTGGCTCGTCACTGCCACTGCGGATAGTGGCATATGGCGATACGAATACAGCAATGTTATTGAAAAGTATAGTGTGAATCATGTGCAGGGAGAGAAGCTTTGAGCGCATGCCTTGGGACTTCACATCGTGGGCATGGTCCACTGACAGACCTTTTGTGCTCAGACGGCACATGGCTCTGAAGACAAGGTACGCGTCTTTGACAAATATCTCATCTTCCTCCTCTTCTTCGGTGTTGACATGAGGCGAACCCTCTTGACCGGACACATGTCGTGACCCAGCTTTGCCTTTGATGCGGGTCACCAGCGTTGGCGCATTGTCGTGTATACGGTCGTCGTTGAAGCTCATGTTGTTTTCGAAGCTTTGCAGCGTGATCTTGGGTCCAGTGTGTCGGTCGACTGCCTTGTCGCTCGGTTCGGCGTTTTCGGCATCGTGCTCGTCCTCTGCATCGTCGCCGTTGGCCTCGGATCCGGTGATGTCTTCTGCGCTGCCCTCCTCGGGCTGTACACTCTCACTTGATTGCCCTTTGTCATTCAAAGATGAGCGCGACAGGTTCATCCGAGCTTCCTTGATAGAAAGTCTCGTCTTGACCCTTTCGAAGACTGTGCCCACCATTTGTGTCAGTGCACCCTGTGCTACTTGTTGGTTCGCGCTTGACTTGGAAAGGAGGAAGATGTTGTACGTGAGTCGCACAGCCTTCAACAATCCTGCTCCGTGTACAACGATCTTGTCGTTCAAGATAGCTGCCAGCAGCGACTTGACGATCTGGAGTTGGACTTCGGGCGCAGTGGCCTCGCCTTGGAAGCAATCGCATATCGTGTCTATGGCTCGTTCGATCAAAGGAGGGGCCTCGCTGTTGTCGGCTCGCGGCTCGGCCGGCACTGAGAAGTAGGAGTAGCTAATGAGCTTGCCGATGCAGTCGAGCGCGGTGATGGACACGGGGACGTTGGGAGCCTCGGAGGCAAGTTGGAGGGGTTCAAAGAGGACCTCGGGGTTGATGCGCGCCGGGTCGCCCTCGTTCTTGATTGCCGACAAGGCGGCATTGGTGCTGTCGCCCAGTTTCTTGTTCTTCCTGGCATCTTTGGAAGCTGCGATTGTCTCGAGCGCGGTGACGACGAAGACGAGGGAGCTTTTTGTGGATGGTCGCGTGGCCGTAGTGGCTACCGTGGACTGCGAGTCGGTTCGCGGGCGGTTCTCGATAGGCAAGCGGTGGTCGAAGATTTGCTCGGATGATCGCGGCGCGTCTCCTCCGTTGGGGACGTGGAGGACTGGTGTTCCGGGCGCAGGTGTCGATGTTTCCGCCTCTTCCCGTGGAGCTTCGGGCGCTGGGGACGACGTATCCTCGGCGTGCTCTGATGCCTGCTCTGACGCTTGCTCCGACTCGGCGTCTGAGGAGTCGCTCTCGTCCTCTTCTTCTTCTCGTGTGTCTGCGGCAGGTGCATCTTGCTCCTCCATGTCGGGCTTCTCCATGTCCTCACGGGGCGCTGGCGGGGGTTCGGTGTCGGCCATAGTTGTTCACGTCCGGGATGTTTGTAGGAATGTCACTTCCTCTGCAACCATGGCGGAGAAGGAGCGATTGAAAAAAGTGAGAGCGCGGCAGTGGTGACTCGGACTGGCGCAGTGCAGTGCAGAGCAGCGGACAGCGGGCGAGTCTGTGCAGGCGTTGAGCGAGTCGTGCTCTGAGATGACACTTTGTGTCTTTCCTCCTGGCTAGTTACGTACCTGGGACCAGCCGCGCGGTAGGCTAGGGTGGCGCCGGGCTGTGGCTGATGCTGGTGCTTTTCAGCCACACTTTGCGTCCTGCCGGGAAATGTCGCATCCAGCATAGACCCTCATCGGGAGAGAACGCTAGTCGCCGGGTCTCCAACCAGCTGCACTAAACTTTTCGTTGAACAGTCTTCCATCTCCTCCAGCCCTGACCGCTAAGCGCCTGAGCCTCCAGCTCGCTGACCTCTGTCTGCCTGTCGCCCTCGCCCGACAAGCCCGTCTTCCCCCATTTCACGTCGCTTGGAGTAAAATCTCAGCGCCCGGCATCCCAACACAATGCCCGCAACCACAACTCTGCTGTCCCGGGCTGGGACCCAATTGAGCTCGCGGGGGTCAATTGCCCTGCGCGGCGCCCTGCCCACCTCGAGATGCTCCGCGTACGTTAGCTTCACTCCCGCCTGGCATTGCCCACAATCCTCCGACGAGCATAGCTGACACGCCGTATACAGACGCACACCAGCCCTGTCCGCGCTCGCACGCTACTATGCCTCCAAGTGTGAGCACTCCCACCGCGTCCCTCGCGACGAGATACTCCGCTGGCCATCGCATTGCTAACGCAGCCCGCAGCCTACCCCTCGCACAGCGTTATCAGCATGCCCGCCCTCTCCCCAACCATGACCGCCGGAAACATTGGCGCATGGCAGAAGAAGGTCGGCGACTCAATAGCGCCCGGTGACGTCCTCGTCGAGATCGAGACGGATAAGGCACAGATGGACTTTGAGTTCCAGGAGGAGGGCACCATCGCCAAGATCCTCCGCGACGCTGGCGAGAAGGACGTCGCTGTTGGAAGCGTAAGTCGAGGTACACAAGCTTTCGAGGGCACCATGCTGACTTCCACAGCCCATCGCTGTTATGGTTGAGGAGGGCGAGGACGTCTCCGCATTCGAGAGCTTCTCCATCGAGGACGCCGGTGGTGACAAGAAGGCCGACACTCCCTCCAAGGAGGGCAACGCCGCCGAAGCCAGCGAGCCCCCGAACACTGGCTCCAAGACCGCTCCCCCCGCAAAGGAGGAGTCTGCGCCCGCCGCCATCGAGTCTGAGTCCACCGGCGACCGTCTAGAGACCGCTCTCCAGCGCCAGCCCGCCGTCTCCCCCGCCGCGAAGAAGCTCGCGCTCGAGAAGGGCGTCCCGATCGGTTCCATCAAGGGCACTGGAAAGGGCGGCCAGGTCACCAAGGAGGACATTGAGAAGTACAAGCCTGCTGCCGGTGCTGCCCCCGCCGCTGGCGCCTCCGCTGCCGCGTACGAGGACGTCGAGGCTACCAGCATGCGCAAGGTCATCGCTACCCGTCTCCGCGAGAGCATGCAGCAGAACCCCCACTACTTCGTCGCCTCCAACATCTCCGTCTCCAAGCTCCTCAAGCTCCGCGAAGCTCTCAACGCCTCAGCTAACGGCGAGTACAAGCTCTCGGTCAACGACTTGCTTGTCAAGGCTCTCGCTGTTGCCGCCCGCAAGGTCCCCGCTGCCAACTCCTCCTGGCGCGAGGATGGCGGTAAGGTCATTATCCGCCAGCACAACACTGTCGACGTCTCCGTGGCTGTCTCTACCCCCGTCGGTCTCATGACCCCCATTGTCAAGAACGTCAACGGACTCGGCCTCCAATCCATCTCCTCCCAGATCAAGGACCTTGGCAAGCGCGCACGCGACGGCAAGCTCAAGCCCGAGGAATACCAGGGCGGAACCATCACCATCTCCAACATGGGAATGAACCCCGCTGTTGAGCGATTCACCGCCGTCATCAACCCCCCACAAGCTTGCATCGTCGCAATCGGCACAACAAGGAAGGTCGCAGTACCAGGCCAGGCCGAGGATGGCACAGCGAGCGTTGAGTGGGACGACCAGATTGTCATCACCGGCAGCTTCGACCACAAGGTTGTCGACGGTGCCGTCGGCGGCGAGTTCATGCGCGAGCTCAAGAAGGCCATTGAGAGCCCTCTCGAGCTTATGCTATAATCTGATTCTGTTTTCGGTGCATTTGGGACGACTGTGTAACTTTACTATTGGGCTAGATGAGATTGGATCTCAGGGACAGACGATCTTATGTACAGCGGATGGCGCGTTTTCTATCCCCCATGATCATTTGTCCAACTGTCGTATTGCATGATAACCCCTTGTATGAAAAGATATCTCCCTTCTTCGAATCGTTTTGCATCTGTTGTTGCGTAGTTGATCACCCTGCACGCGCGGGCTAATGGTAAATCTAGACCGGGATTCTCGCCTGGAACTCTTTCTGCGAACCGGGACGGTGGTAAGCTATATAGCCGGCACGTATATGCAGGACAATAGGTGAACACCACAGCTCAGTCATCCCACACCTGCGAAGACCACATGCGCGTATAGCCCCACAGTCGAGGTGATGAAGGGGTGTGTGGGGAGCAAACAGGCTGCTTTACAGTGAGTATGAGCGATAAGGGCATCGGTGTGTCGTCGTGATGGCGGTGCTTTCCTATATTGAGTCCCATCGCGCCTGCCTGTAGCAACTCTACATCTTTCCCTCAATACACTGGCACTTGCAACTTCACCAAGATGCTCCATACTACTCTCACTTTGTTTCTCTTTTCGGCGGCAGCTGTTGCTCTCAACTTTGATTGGGAGCGCGAACAGCTCACCGACGAGGATGCAGCTCGCAATGATGCAGTGCGCTTTGGTAGTGCATCACGAGCTGCGGCGCCTGTTAACTGCAAGATCACCCCGGGTGACGCTGAGTGGCCGAGCGAGGATGTCTGGGCCTTTTTCAACAATACGCTCGGCGGTGTGTTACTGAAGCCTAGACCGCTTGCCAGCGTTTGCTATACTGGTGAGGGCTACAATGCAGCGAGATGCGAACAGTACAAGAGTAACTGGGCGGGCATGAACCTACAGTGAGCTCACTCGTACCGCAACTTCACCCTTATTGTGTCATTCTAACTACGACAGTACCGATGATCCGACTAGTACCATGTCCCAATGGGCATCCGGGAACGCATGCACACCAACCTCACAACCAAATTCAAACTGTACCCAAGGTGGCTGGCCGGAGTACGTTGTTAGAGCCACTACGTCGAGACACATCCAACTCGCAGTCAACTTTGCTAGAAACCAGAATATCCGTCTTGTGATCAAGAACTCAGGTCACGACTTCAACGGGAAGTCCATTGGTGGCTACTCCCTCAGTGTGTGGACACGCAACCTCAAAGGCATGACGTATGATCCGAACTACACATCACCAACTGGTTCGTACACAGGAAAAGCTGTTGCTTATGCCGCCGGTACCCAGGCTTCTGAGGGGTCTACACTAATGCGGCAGAAGAATATGCTCATGATTGTTGCAGGCGGGTCGACTGTAGGTATCGCAGGTGGCTTCCTTCAAGGTGGTGGACACAGCGCCTATACCAGCTACTATGGTCTGGCGGCCGATCAAGTGCTCGCCATCACTGCTGTTACAGCTGATGGAAGGGTAGTCGAAGCACATGAAGGAGGAAATGCAGACCTGTTCTGGGCTTTCAGAGGAGGAGGAGGGGGTAATCACTGCCAGCAAACAGGGAATCCGACTGTCACTGACCAAATACCAGGTACATTCGGCATCATCACATCCGTTGTCGTCAAAGCATTCCCGACCACATCGATTACGTCAGGCAGTGTTCGTTTCTCAACGACACCAGACCGCGGATCAAGTGCGCCTCCAATTTCTGCAGAAACCTTCTGGGCCGGCATGCGCGCGTACTGGGAGTTTTCAATCGCCATCTGTGACGCAGGCGGCTTGGGCTACAGCTTCATCTACCCAAGCAGTAGTAGCACAGGTCTTACCTTTACTGTCAGTATATCGGTTCCTAACAAGACTACCACCCAATATCGGCAATTTGTCCGCCCGTTGCTTCAAAAGCTCAACGATTTGGGTATCCAGCAACCTATGCCGACACTCAAACGCTCTCTCACGCCATATTTCTCGTATGAAGACGACTCCACAAACGAAGCATCGCCTCTTTCCAAAAGAGTAATAGGCGAAACAACAGGCCACACGCTCATAGCATCCCGCTTCTTCCCCCGCACCACCTTCTCCACCCCCTCCACACTAGAAACCTCCCACCTCGCCATCCGCCACGCCGTCGAAAACGGCTCCCTAACCTTCCACGGCATGAACTACGCACCCACACTCTCCGTCTCCGGAAACCCAAACAACAGCGTAACCCCCGCGTTCCGCACCACAGTCCTCCACGCACAAGCCTACGAACCCAACGCGCACTGGGACGGCAAAGCACCCATCTTATCGCACGAGGCGCTGACAGAAAGACATCAGAGACTGCAGGGGTATATGCAGGCTTGGCGGGATGTTACGCCTGGGAGTGGGAGTTATATTAATGAAGGGGATGCGCAGGATTGGGAGTGGAAGGAGGCGTTCTTTGGGAGCAATTATGAGAGGTTGGCTAGGGTGAAGAGGGAGTGGGATCCTGAAGGCGTGTTTTGGGCGATTGGAGGCGTGGGGAGTGATGAGTGGGAGGTTAGGGATTTGGATGGGGGGAAGAGGGAGGGGATTGTTACGCAGGATGGGAGGTTGTGTAGGGTGGGTTGATGGTGAGGAGGGGAAAGGTACGTGTCTGTTGGGGGGCATGAACTTCAGGTGTGCTATCTCGATGGATGGTGGTTCAAACTGCTAAAAGCACTTTGTCCAAGGAAGGCTACAATTTAGTTATCATTAAGCATCATTAGAAGCTGATGCGAAGCTCATTGTCGCTCCCCGGAGGATGTCGTACCGCTACATCGGAGTTTCGGTGCCTTTCCCCCTCCGCAGTCTCACATCCTGGACGCCTTAACCACGGAAAACATTAGCGAATCATACGCCTTATGGAAATGCACAAGATCTCTTTTGGAACAACGGGGGATAAGTCGGAAACTGAAAAATAGGAGCAATAGATAAATGAATGGCAATACATCCTATGACCCATGCGTCACATCCACCTTCCAACTCTTTGGCCCCAACACTCTGACTCCTACTTTTTTACATTCCTCCACCTTGACCTCTTCTATCCCGTCTTCAAGTCCGCGAAACCATGTCGCCTACTCCATCCTTCTCCTCCAAATTCATCCTGATAACGGGCGCAAACAGCGGCATAGGAAAAGCCACCGCCCTCTCCCTCGCCACCCTAAACCCAGCACAACTCTGGATCGCCGGCCGTAACGTCGAAAGCGGCCATGCTGCCGTCGCTGAGATAAAAGCCGTAGCCCCGTCCGTCGATGTTCGATTCGTAGAATGCGATTTAGCGAGTTTCGACTCGGTAGCAAGAGCGGCGAGGGAAGTGGTGGAGGGTTGTGGAGGCAGGTTGGATGTTTTGATGTTGAATGCTGGGATTGTATGTCCGATTTCTATTTTGCCAGCGTATTGCGTCTTTTGGTAATGTCTTGTCGTTGACTGACACTCTTCTGCGACGATAGATGGGCGGCTACCCCGGCACCACACCTCAAGGTCATGAACTGCAATTCGGAACGAACCACGTTGGCCATGCCCTCCTGCTTAAACTCCTCACACCAACCTTGCTTTCCACTGCAGAGACCACGGGCTTGACACCACGCGTCATCTCCGTCAGCTCGCGGGGCCACGCTCACACCGCCGCCCTGCCAGACGGCGGCATCGCGTTCGACACGTTGAAATACTCCCAAACTGATTTGTCAGGCGTGAACAAATACACGCAATCCAAACTAGCCAACGTACTCTACGCGCGCCAATACGCGTTACACTACCCACAGATCCTTACTGTGGCGATCCACCCTGGTGATGTCTTGACAGAGATCTTCAATAAAGGCGCTGAGGGAGGTGATGAGCAGATCAAGTATCTGGCGAGGGAGGTGGCGCCTAAGAGATGTGGATCGCTGGAGGAAGGCATCAAGAATGGGGTTTGGGCGGCGACGGCGGAGGGCGTGCTGAGTGGACGGTATTATGAACCTGTGGGTGTTTTGGGTATGGGGAGTGAGTTGTCCAAGGATACGGGATTGGGAGAGAAGTTGTGGGCCTGGACGCAGCGAGAGATGCAAGGGTGGGAGCTCTAGGAAGGAGGGAGTGGATGCGCTGGATTGGGTGGTTCTGGTTTTGCATGAGATGTTCTTGAGCTGTATTGGTCCCCTTCAGGTATAAGAATGTGTCTTCTTATCGGTCTTGTGCCTGGGTTTGGGATTGGCGTGAAACGTAATGGTTTCCAGACTACCGTCTAGTCGCCGTCTTTTGCATGTGACGACGACTTCGTTCGTGAGGTCTCCTCTTGTCGTTGCTTCCACATCGTGGAACATGTTATGCTCCGGCATCAAAGACCAGCTATACGAATCTTCCAAATTGGGTATCTCTGAGAGAGAGAAGCCATATCCAGCGTTATCCCCATAGTGAGTATTTTGCTCTTCAAGCTCCATAACCGTTTCCGCGATATTTGCTGCCGTGAAAGAATCCCACGTTCCTTCCTTGAGTGGGATCACCCGCAGGAGCCGAATAGCATGGAGGCGGATGCGATGGTATCGACACTTGATAGCCGTGTAATACAAAGGCGCGATAAAGCCGTATTCGCCAATCGAATTGTGGAGGTTGACGTTGTCGGGTATAGACTTTGCCAAGGAGTACTCTTCAAAAATGTGTATGGCATGAACAAGGATCGTGAGAAACGCTTGCGTGTACGCTTCGTAGTGCTGCTCCGAGTGTATTTGCAAACAGCCGCACATTATACCCGCCATGGCATGATACATGAGTAGCAATTTGAGGACTGATGGTTCGCGGCCTGTCGGAAGCTTTGTTGGTGGCGTCTTTCCGCCGAACGCCAATGGTTCATTTGGTTTCTTTCCGGCAGCTAAGGCTAGTTTGTCGATTGAGTGCAGTGTACCCAGATACGTTTCGTACCACATTGCAAGGTGGTTCGCGATCTCTCCTTGCCATGCTGTAACCGCAGCAACTTCGTCTTTAGAACCTGGCCCTAGCTTCCGATGTCGTTGTCTTATGAGGACAATACCATGCAACAGTACATCCAGAGCGTCCTTCGCCTCTTCAGTGCTCGTAAAAACAGGGTATGGTATGGGTGCTTCCATCGGCTGAAGGAAGACATCGAGATCCTCCAGACTGGAACCGAACAGATTACTTTGCATATGTAGGGTCGCGAAACTGCGCACAATGCCTTGGTCGATGCTCTTTTCATATGAAGCCGGCTTGATTCTGAGGACGCCATCATTTAGGCAATCCTTCTCCGTGGTCATGTTGATCAGGACCTTTAGACCGTTCCGTAAGTGTGATTCGGCCAATTGGTATTGCCCGCGGAGGTATTCAAGCAAGGTGAACAGTTGACAGGTGACCAATATGACAGTAACCGAGGCTTTGTCTCCACATCGCAACAGCGGCTGTAGCGACTGGATTGCTTTGCCATATTGTTGCAGCATGAACTTTTCCCTCTCATCCGGACCTTGTGCCGAATCGAAACTGCATCTGTGCGCAGCGCTCAGCGCAACAGCAGCATGAAGAACCGCCGGTTCTGACGACGCTGCTGGTAGCACGATCGAGTTCCAGAACTTCGAAGCAAACCAACCGGAAGTTGTGTGAACGATGCGGATCCTGTATAACTGTAGATACCTGAGTTCCTCGACACCCAGGACTTTGGTTGGAGGTTTCTGGATCGATGTTGACACCAGGCCGTATCTTTCAACGTAGGTGTTCCCTCCGCCACCCCACAGTCCGTAGCCCTCGCATGTCCGACCAGTGGAGCGACAGCGAGAGCATACAGGCTTGGTTTCGTCGCACTTGACTCTTCGCGCTCTAGTCGATGTCGGTAAGCGTCCATAGGAACAGATCTCTACCCAGATCGCTGCAAAACAAACAGCCAATCGGTTGAGTACCGTGTCATTGAACAGGGGAGTCCACTTACTTGCAGGTTCCGCACCCTGATTTAGACTTCCTCCGTACAACACCTCTTACAGTTTGGCATGCAGCTTTTGCAGTCACATGTTGATTCGGTGTGTTGGCTTCTGGCTGCATAGCGAGAGCGATGTCCAACTAGAGTGACGAACATGAAGGCGTCGCTCCAACTCGTTTTGCGAGATATCTAGCGGCTCGAGTAGCATGTTTCAAAGAAGACGCAGGAAATGTTGCGAGACAGTTTGGAGGAGGAACGGACAGTCTGTCAGCCCTAGGCTCGCTAAACTTCGGGAAGGTAGGCCGGACCCCTGCATACGTTACACCACTCTAATTGGTCCGCTCGGCATAGCTACATTTTGATTGCTCGGCCTTGTGGAATACGAGTGTCGCGTTTTGCTGCATGCGTGCTATAGAATCTTGACAATTCAATACTTCCTGACATAATGTTTACGTTTCCCTAAAGAAATGCGACACAGATTATATCCGTTCCTGGTGGCATCGATAGACATGCAAAGACGATGAAAGCGCGAAGCACTTCGGGAGGGTCTGGTCTTTCAGTCGAAGCCTTCCGCATGTCGCCAACCCATGGAAGGAATTAAGCTCTAAGCACAGAGATCATCGCCCTGTCACCATGTATTCAAGGGAGAACTCGGACACAAGGTGTTGAGTAGACTCAGGAACTGTTTTCCCTCATTCGCGGGTTTGCGCTTTCCATCACTGATTAACCAAACTTCGTCATCAAAGTGGGGCTGTGGACCCCTTTGCCAGCTGCCTCTTTGAACAACACTTTAGATACAGTCCCTACCCTCCACATCTCGCTACTCAAAGAACCAACGGAACAAGGTGAGCGCGCCCAATCAGACCGAATCGTCTCTGCCCGGAGATGTCCCTCTGTTTGTAACAGTGCTAGTAATAAGCGCCCACATAAACGTCGATGCGAATTCGACTGGAAGCAATACTGAAGTAGAGTCTTCGCGACTCAGGACGATGCCAATTACACCTCCCCAGGCGGCCAGGGTCGCGAGCAGACAGAGCCAGATCAATATCGCGAAAGGAAGGGGTATATGCTCGCAGATGTTGTTCGGAAATCCGGCGATAGCAGACATCAGATACCGAACACCGAGAAAGATAGAAGGTACGAGCTCAGCTGTAAGCAACAGGAGCCTCTGTAGGGCGCCTCTTAGCCATCGAAAAAACTGTGCCGGTAGGCGGATGCATCTGTTGTCGTGCTGCCACAGTGGAGTTCGGCTGTTTAGATTCCACCCGACTAGCGGTCTCATTTCGTTATTCTCAACATTCTCGGAAACTCGTGCTGGCTCGTAGTAGGACCAATCTGGGAGCTGGGGCGTTGACCTAAGTTTCGTGAGCTTACCACAGCCATGAACTGTGCAATGGTGGACGAACTTGGTGTTCCAGAGTGGTAAACGTGTAGTTCCCATCGGGGCGTGGTGGTGTCTCGAAGCAGTTCGGCTTCGCGGGATAAAGGCTCTGAAGATGACCGGGGCGCATACAGTTTGCACCTTAGCGACGTGATTAACGGAGAGGCTTGTGATTGCTGCTACGCATGTATCGTCAAAAGACCGAGCGTCACGCTCTCGGCTTGGTTCGGATAGCTGGGGATAAATATCCATATATGCGTCTGCGAGACGTTGTTACCGCCTCCATATGCTTCGATCCATAGGCGCTCAGCGATCACCCTCTGCTGTCTATCCAATCAGGATCATAGCAACCACAAGGCCAGCGGGGCTATGCTACCGGTCAGCATCTTGGCAGCGATACTCTTCATCATTTTGCACCCGCGGATTTTCCATGCTACTTTCGGTCTTCACAATGGCGGAGGCGCTCGCCATAATCGGGCTGGTATCTAACATCCTATCGTTTATCGACTTCGGCATCAAATTCAGCTGTGGGGTTCGGAACGTGCGCGATTCCCTTCACGGTACAACTGCGGAGGTTCGAGAGCTCGAACTTATTGTGGAAAACGTTGAAAGATATCATGAGCGAGTCAAGAAGCAGCAAGTTTCCGGTCAGAAGCTATCCGTGCACGAGAAGCACATTTTGGGCATGGTTCAACAATGCCGCAGCATAGCCGAAGAGTTGCACAAGGCTATCGCCCGGCTACATATGCGCGAGGGTCGCTCGAAGACCATCGAAAGTAGCCGCGTCTTTTTCCAGAGTTTCTGGAAACAACGAGACGTTATTTCTCTACGAACAAGGCTTGAAGCGCTGGACAAGCAGATTCGATCAAATGTTGAGTACATCATCAGAAGGTATATTAGCGCGAAGATTGAAAGTATAGGCCTTCCGGAGCTGTGAATATCAACGGTCGAGAAGCAGATACGCTGACTTAATCTTCCTATAGTGATTATGACTCTGCATTGTCAGCCAAGCTGCAGGCCTTGAAGAAAGGTCAAGATGATCTTGCCATCAATTACGACGCCAAGTTGGATCAAATTCGAGACGAAATCCTCACCCTTTCACGACAGGATCGCACAGGCGAAAGCACCACACAGTTGGCGCAATTAGCCAGTCTGAAAACGAAGCTTGACGCGCTCGAGAAAGAACATAAGGCATGCATTAAGCAGACTGATATCATAAGAAGCCTGTACTTCCCAGTAATGCGCCGACGATGGAGCCAGATTCCAGAAGCTGACAAAGCGTCGAACACGTGGATCTTCGATAAGTCATTGACCCCCTTCACAGTCTGGTTAGATAGCACCGAGAAGGATGACGGGCTCTTCTGCATTACAGGACGGGTAATAAAAACGCCCTTGGTTTCTGAACTCACACTGATGTACCAATGTAGGCGGGTAGCGGTAAATCAACTCTGATGAAATTGGTGTCTGAACACCCGAGCACCCTTACATGCCTTGAAGGGTGGGCCGGTACGACCAAGCTCTGCACAGCAAGCTACTACTTCTGGAACCAAGGCTACGAGATGCAGAAGAGTCAAGTCGGACTTTTTCAGTCCCTTCTTTATCAGATACTCAAATCTGTACCAAGACTCATCGAGATAGTGTGCCCTGACCGCCTGGAGCACGAAGACTGGGATGTAAAGGAACTGAAAGCTACCTTCGCGCGCATCGCTACCCAGGAGGATTTAGAAGTCAAGTTTTGCTTCTTCATCGATGGTCTGGACGAGTATAACGGAGCTGAGGAGGACGTTGTCCACGCTCTGAAATTTCTTTCCGCATCCAAGGACATCAAGATCTGTGCCTCAACGCGACCTCGGTCGGTGTTTGAGAAGTTCTTTAGTGAACGTTCTCGCACATTTGACATCAAGGGGTTCACCAAGGAAGACATGGGACGCCACGTTCAACGCGAACTTGCGGAGAATGAAAGCTTCCAACGTTTGGAAGACGCTGGGTTTACTTGCGAAACAATGACGCGGGCAATTGCAGACCTCGCGAAGGGCGTGTGGTTATGGGTATTCCTCGTCACTCGTGACATTGTACACGCCGTCAACCGAGACGAAGATGTCGAGACGCTGTGGAAGATTGTCAATCTGTTCCCAGCAGATTTGGAAGCCTACTTCGAGCGTATGCTCAACGCCGTCCAGCCACAATATCGTGAAGAGATGTCACAGATATTCTTGATAACAGTGGATCAACTGCAACCGCTCCCGTTATTCGCGTTCTCACTGCTGGCAAGCGAACGCAAGAACCCCGCATATGCCACCAACCTCTCCATGCGATCTTTCCGCGAGGGCAAAATGAAAGAGATGTACCCGAAGTGGAAGTCGCTCATTCACAATAGATGCAATGACCTTCTTGTTGTCAATAATGAAGAGTAAGTGAAATTTCCGGCCAGCTACTCATGTGCTAGATTCTCCCGAAGCAATGCTCGGGGTGTGGACGTGCTCAGTGATTGCACAAGAGATATTATAAGCGCTTTAAGCTTGTATCAAGCGGTTGCAAGCTTTTTAGACACTTGCTAACTGCTCCGTCACTCCAGACATCCCCTTTTCTTTGGTCCCACAGTCGACTTCCTCCACCGGACTGTCGGCGACTTTTTGCAGGATAATTACTACCCTCAACTTCAAGCCAATCTCAAGGGCCAGTTTAGCTCTACATCTGCCCTATGTAAGATGTGCCTTGTGATGCTTAAATTACTCCCGGACGTCGACTTCGAAGAACGGCCTTCAATCAATATAGTCATCGGAATAACAGACGAGCTACTCTATTACGCGTACGAAACCGAGAGAAACGACCCGAACCCCATGTCTTCCCTAGTCGAGGTGCTCGATGACATGGATCGCGTTAACAGTCACCACGCACGCGGCGCTAGGAACCACTGGACGCACGCCCGCGATGCGGTTGGCGAACGAGGAAAGGATGTGTACCAAGAGGGCGACAACTACAGTTTCCTTGCACTGACTGTGCAAGCACGTCTCGTCAAGTACGTTCGCGCGAAGTTAGACGCCAACCCAAACAACATGCGAAAGGGCGGGCGGCCACTACTCGACTACGCGCTCCGCCCACGTCGCATCACACCTATCAGCATGCGATACCACTCCAAGCGCGACGACCCGAGTGTGAATGTGGACATGGTACGGCTCCTCCTCGATCGCGGAGCGGATCCAAATCAGCAAGTTCATCTGAACGACGGCAAGTCAGTCTGGCTGCTCTTTCTACTTTCGATACATGAGACCGTCTTGCGTGCGCACAAGGGTGGCACAAAACCTTCAGGGAGTCTCACTAGCGCTTGGTACCAATGTTGCCAATCGCTCATCCAACATGGTGCCCAGAGGAATTCGTATCTCCCTAAAACGGAATCGGTGTCAGCCGTTGGTAGTGTCTTGAGGGATCTCTTTGGGTCTGCGAAAACAGATGCTCTAGAAGAGCTTCTGGACAAGAAGGAGCAGGAGGAGCAGCAGTCAAAGGGCTCGTGTATGATCATGTGACATTGTGCTGGCACCCCGTTTAGGAAAGAACGCCTGAACCCAAATTATAGAGACAGCGGAACATATCATTGTAGTTCCAAAACTGGATATCGTGTTCGTTCGTCTATGGACTAGTCTATCATAAGCATCGCATTACCATGATCGTCATCACAGAGAAAACAAGAAGAAAAGTCGAACAGAGAAAACTTTCCCCTCGGCGCCAAACGTAGCCCTTTAGTATACCACGCCGACCAAATGCTTTTCACTTTGCCGTTACGCCTTCACAGATGCCTCTCCGCTTAAGAAGCCTCCTCAACACCGTCTGGCTTTTGTGCCTCGGCGTCCGTCATCTCCGCGTCTTTTGGCTCTTCCGCCGGCGGCGCCTCAGCCTGCTTCTTTGACTCGGCTTCCCGCTTTGCGCGCTCAAGCTCGGCTTGCTTGGCGGCGTGCTCCTTTTGGTGCTTCTCCATGGCTGCTTGTCGCTCGCCCTCGATCTTGTCGTTGTAGCGCTGGATGATGGGACCGGCGATGGAGCGGATGTCCTCCTTCTTGGAGACGTACTGTGCCTTCGACGCGTCGTCACCCTCGTCGTATAACCATTCCTGTTTAAATGTCAGCGCAGTTCATGTATCGTACTATTGATGGGACTTACCTCGATGGTCTCGAGCTTGGTGTTGAGCTTGGCCTTCTCTTCGTCGCTGGCGAATTCGGCGTAGACGTCGAGAATCTTGTCCTTGAGCTCGTAGATGAAGCTCTCGAGGTTGTTCTTCTCGTTCTCGGTGTCTTGAACGAGCTTGTCCTCCATGATCATAGAGTTCTCCTTCTCGGCCAGGGTCTGCTTGCTCTCTTCGTCAAGCGAAGCAGTTCCGGCTGATAGTGGCAGGTCACCCTTGCGTTGCTGCTTCTTGACCTTGCGCATCTTCGGTGGCTCCTTGGCGGCGTCCTTGTCAACGTCCATTGCCTGCGCATAATTTGTTAGCTCATTTGTTACGTGCGCAGAAGCAGGACGCGCAAGTACAGGATCAGCGTCAGGCTTGTGTCGTTTCGCGGCAGGCTCGGGCGGGCTTTGCCGCCCGTTACTAGGATCAGAAGGAAATTGGGAACGTACATCACCCTCTTTCTTCTCTGCTGACGGAGACTCGGGAATTGGCTCCTCAACTTCGGTTTCCTCGACGTAGTATCCGGATTCGACGTTGAGCACACCGTGCACGTTGAGGCGTGCCTTGAGCTTGCAAATCATGAAGTCGCCCTTGGGGTCCTCCTTGACACCCTTGACGGAGAAGCGGCCGATCCAGGGGTTCATCTTTCCTGGCAGTTGCTCGGGCTTGGCGTACCTGGCCTCGAGGTCGAATGGGTGTTTCCGGTAGAATGTGAGGATCTTGGTTGATGGCATGACGTTGCCCTTGTTGAAGACGGTCAGGTTGGTGTCCTCATCTGGAATGTCCTCTGACTTCTCCCAGGTGAACTCGACGGGGTAGTTGACCATGTCGTGAACGGAGAAGTCACGGACACGGAATACTGGGGAGAGGATGGCGCAGCAGAAAGCGCAGCCACGAGCGACAGCCTCGTCCTGGTTGAGGGTGAAGGAGAGCGGCTTGCCGAAGTAGTCCTGGATCTTGGCCTTGAGGACGGGTACACGTGTGCAGCCACCAACCATCTCGATGGCGTCGATGTCGGCAGTGGTGAGCTTGGCCTCAGCGAGAGCCTGCTCGATAGGGGCGGTAGCACGGTCGATGAGGGGCTTGATCAGCTCCTCAAGCTCCTCGCGCTTGAGCATACCGCGGACATCGACGTCGTTCATGATGGACTCGACGTTGATGGGGGCCTGGTTGTTGGCGGAAAGGACCTTCTTCAGCTTCTCGACACCGGCGGACAGACGGAGGCGGGCCTTGCCGTTCTCCATGACGTCGATCTTGTACTTCTCCTTGAACTCCTTGGCGAAGTGCTCGACAAGGGCCTTGTCGATGTAGCGTCCACCGTAGTGGCGGTCCCAGGCGCTCGACTTGACGGCGAGCTCGCCCTTCTTGAACTCAACGACGGTAGCGGTGTAGTTGCTGTGGCCGATGTTGACGAAGACGACTCTCCGTGGCTTCTCCTCGGGCGCTGGGAGGTCCAGCTTTGTGATGCCCCAGCCGAGGGCGACTGCGGTGTTGTCGTTGATGAGCCTCAGGCACTTGAGGCCGGCGATGTCGGCGGCGTCGAGGATGGCGCGGCGCTGGGCGTCGGTGTACCAGACGGGGCAGCTGAGGACGACGTCGTTGACGGGGAGTTTGAGTTCGGCAGATGCTGTGGCGCGCATCTTGGTCAGGAACATGGCGGTGATCTGGGTGGCAGTGAACTGCTCCTTCTTGCCCAGATATGTCACCTCAGCGCCGACCTGGCCGCCCATGTCGATGAGCGGCGCGGATATGAAGTCTTGCTCGACCTGGACATCGGGGTCTGTGAGGTTGCGGCCGGCGAGGCGGACGAAGGAGGAGACGGTGTTCTTGAGGTTGGAGATTTCCTGGTTCTTGGCCGTCTCGCCGACGTATCTGCTCTTGGGGCCGAAGCCTACTAGCGATCTGGGAAATTGTGAGTGGATGCTCGTTGTGTGCGCTGCGTGCGCTGGGGGTCTACTTACGGTGTCGCGCGGTTGGAAACCTCATTTGCAATCTACTGGCGTCAGTATTATGGTGTATCATATGCGACCGGGGCTACTCACCACATCGACACCGCGATTCCGCGCAACAGCAATGACGCTGTTGAGCGTTCCCAAATCAACACCTACTACAGACATGTTTATCTCTGATGGCGGGGTATGTGTGGGCAAACGTGGAGGGAGTGTGTGCGGTGAAAGTCGTGTTTGGGGGGTCGTGTAAAAGATAGACAGACACGGGTTCGCAAATTTCAAGTGACCGCTGCGTGATGACTTGCTGGCAATACGTCGAAGAAAAGAGAACCTTCTCGACAGGCCCTGTTTTAGCGGGGTCACTAAAGAAAGTGTTGCGGAAGGCACGGACCATGCAAATCGTCCAACAACACGCTGCGTCATATCCGCTCGCACTCGCTCCTGCCGTCTCCGCCGACGCGTCTCGATGCCGCCAGCGTCTTCCAACGCAACCCCATGGACGCCTGCACGCCCGCCTCTGAGCACCCGCACGCGTCGACCCTCTGTGCGATAAGATAGCTGACATCAGCATGGCCCAAATCCCCCCGTACCCACTCTATAACCGCACGTACAACCTGTACCGCCTGTCCCCGCTCCACTGCCACGACACTCCCCTCCTAGTCGACGCCTCACTTCGCACCCATGCCAAGCGCCTCAAGGAACAGCTCAAAGGCGACAGCGTGCGCGGCGTGCAGGTCGACTTTGCCGCTGCCGACGACACCGCGAAACTGGGCCCCCTGGACGAGTGCACCTGGGAGCTGATTGGCGACGAGGATGCCTGGATTGACCGACATCGCCAGTCGATGGACCCCGATGCCTCACAGCTTTCCTCCGTCTCCCAGCTCACCCCAGAGCGGGCGCGTGGACTGGAAGTGAGCCTCGAGTACGAGAAGCAGTCGTACAATGCGCTCCTGCTGCGCGACCCGGGCGTCACTTCCTCGCAAAATGGCTTTACGTCACTGCCCCTGCTACTCGTGAAGATGCCGGGCCCAGTACGCGACATCTTCCTCAACTACCTCCGAACGACCTTCGATGCCCACGTTGCGCCCTTGAAGCTGCCCTCGCCCTTCATCACTTCGAGTCTCGAGACCTACTTCAGGCACCTCGCCGCGAGGTACTCGACCCAGTCCATACAAGACATCATAAGACAGCTGCATATCCAATTGGCATTCCCCAATACCACAAATATCCTCAAACACGTAGAGATCACAGTCGCAGGCGGCGACATCTCTGGTTTCGTCGACAGGGGCAGACTGCTCAAGGACACCCATGACAAGCCCTTTACAGGTGCCCTGGCTGCCTATCTTCGGCAGCATCTCGCCCTCGACATATCGCACCCCAAAGTCCAGATATCCCGAATAACCTGCAACAGCTTCCACCTCGGCACCGAGCGCCTCAAACTCGTCGCACCTGATCCGCTAGCGGACACGTCCTTCTCCGATGAAGGCGGCGCATCACAAGACGCAAGTGCGAGTGAACTCGCCGTACAAGAGCTCTATGTATCGTTAGTGCGAGAGGCTGCTGGCAGCGGGAAGTTTCTGCCGGAGGAATTGACCAGCGAATCGAGAGAAGAGACGCCGTCCTCCATCGCAAGCGCTAAAGCGGGGCGCAGGAAGAGAGCCATCAGCAGCACTGCTATCACCGATAGTAATAACAAAAAGACCAAAGGCAGAGGGAAAGAGAACAACCGGAAGCTCAATGGCAATGCCGGCATAGCCGATATGTAGGCACACCTAATCTTGGGTAGGAGTACCTTTTTCAAAGCGCGTTGAATATTTCCTAAGATACCCATTATCAATTTCTAGCAACGAAACCATTGCATCTCACTTTATCTTTTTCGCGCTTCAAGCCGACACGTGCCACGCTCCCATGCCACGTCTCTCTCACTGCGATGTCGCCACCGGATTACGATCGGCTACATCAAGTCACACACTGTTAAACTTCTGTCCGGCCACTTCCAACACTCTCACTCCCGCTACATCGCAATGAAGGCTTTTCCCATGATACTCGTCCGCGAGTTCAACGGACGAGACACTAGCTACCGTGTTGCAGCTCGTCGAGCTCGCAACTACTGGGTACGTCTACTGAGCTACTATTCCAGCATGCGTCGCGTCTCACTCCCATACATGCCTTCGACTTAGTCACTTGATCATAACCATAACACACCAATCACATGCTAAAGCCCACAGGAACTCCTGGCGAACGTACACAACATCTTCATCAAGCCGTGGGAACGCTACAACGCTCATCTTCATTTCGACGGTCATGCTTGCGACGATCGGATAAGCCCCAGCGAATGGGATGCTGGAGGCTACTTCGATCCCGAATTTGTAGTGGACGGCAGATTGGTACTATATGTACACTTCGAACAGGTGGAACCACCACCAGAATCTAGCATGGATGCACACAATCCTTTTGAGACGGAGGGAGAAGATAAGCTATGGTACGGGGGAACATATGGCGATCAGGGACTTCGAACGAAGGTAAAATCGTTAGACGCTTGTTGGAAGACTCGATTGACACGACATAGAGAAAATTCTTGGAAGACATCGAAGATTACCTTGGAGAATCGAAGAAAGACTCGTCAACCTATACACTCAAGAGCACACTCGCGTTACCGGTTGCTGCCAATGAGGTGGTGACCGTAGATGACTCGAGCAGCAGTCATCATCTCGACACTGGCGTCGTGATTGGGCGCGCCCTCCCACAAAGCTGTCTCGATCCTAATGTTCGCCCTGTCGTTCGCGCCGTGATCAGCAAAGTCGGCGCTGTAGTCGCTTACATTCCCGCGAAATACTCAAAACGGAGCGCAATCAAAGGAGACATACAGATCGCGATGACGCACGTTGAATATACACCCGAGCTGGTCAAGTTCACCTTCGGCGAAAAGAGAACGCGAGCCATAAAAGCTATGATCGAAGAGCGAAATGCACCTCACAACACGGGTACACCTCCAGATCCTGATCTCTCTACCGTGAGTCCCTCACTGCCGATCGTCCGTGAAGCTACCGCATCTGAGGTGTCGTTCATCATCATCGATGATACAAAGCATTCAGGCCTGCGCAAAGAAGGAATCGTCATCGGCCATGCGAAGGAACACTGGTGTCTTACACCACACAAACGTCCTGCTGTTCGTGCAATGCTGAACAAGAAGAACAACGTCATCGCGTATATTCCCGCACGACACACTGGACATACAGACAGAAACGGTGAGATACAGATTCCATTAAAGGACGTAAATCTCTCGAAGTCGCTCGTAGCGTTGCCGCTGTGGAAGCTCTCTGACGGGATCAGAGCAATGATCAGGGCGAAGAGGGAGACAAGCGAGAAGTCTGCGGTGCATGGGTCAGGTGACCAAGAGGGAGGCGTGATGAAAAGGAGGAGAGAAACAAAGACCAAGCAAGCTATCGGGACTGCCGCGAACGATGACGAAACGGACACTTTTTCGGATTCTACAGACGTTCCCGAAGGCGGTGCTCAACACTGAGCGAAAGCCGCTTTACCGTATATGGGTGCTTGGTATATACAAAAGTCAGTCATTATTAGATACACAATCAGGTCATAGACTTCTGATGTCATTCTACCCCCTCTCTTTCCCGTTTGTCGTTGCCTTTGCGTCCGTGTGACTTCCACTAGCAGTCGCTACACGCACGCGCACAATAAATATCTCTCAAAGAAACTCTAACTGCCCGCGATATCTCTCCTTCGTCACTCAGCTTCTTATATATACTCGGCCATCTTCAAGTTCCCACTCCAATACTCACTACCGCGATTCGAGATGTCGACCATCAGCCCTACCTTGATCGAAGTCAGAGACTTTGCAATTGGTCCTGACTTATACCGCCGACGCGCGTCTGACTTGAGCGACTGGGATGACCTCATCGAGTATACGTTCAACGCCTTCAACCGCGATGAACGCTACTTCAGACTGCACTTCCATTTCTCTCGGGAAACACATTGTGTGGAGGACGAACTGTTGACGAAGGAGGACTGGAATGACGGTATCTATTTCGTCGGCGCCAACAGACTATTCTATGCCCATTTCGTCACGAGGGCTCGACATGAACCTCGAGGTTACTACCGGAGGAGGGAGCCTTCACCGTCACCAGTCAGCCCCACGCCTGAGCCTGGGTCGCCGGTGGTACCTTGGACTATGCCTCCACTACCGCCTATGAACGAGCAAGGGGTTTACGAGTATCCTCCGTCGAACGATACACCAGCTGCAGCTGCTCCCGCACCTACACGTCGTCCAGCAATACGTCCTGGAGGTGGACCTCGACGTGGACTTGCACGTGGCCGCGGACGTGGACGCGCACCACAACCCGCTCAACGCACAGCACCTCGCCCTGTACCACCACCGGCTCAACCTGTTCCAGCCATCCGTCGACCAGCATCCCAGCGACCAAACACCAACTCGACCAATGTATACACCATTGGTCCACCAATACCGGCTGATCGATACCCAAACTCAAGGTACTTCTCCTCACCTTTCACCTTCATCCCCTTACAGCCTGCTCCGCCTCGACCACGAACACATGCTCAACAGTACAGGGCCCCTCTTCCAAGTTCAGACACACCGGTAGCTAGACCTGCGGCTGCGACATACACTTCGGCAGTACCCGTTCGTGCACCTGCTGCGCCAATGTTGCCTCCCCGACCAGCTGTTCGCCAACCGGCTGGTGGATCAACGTCTCGTCTGCCGACTACAGGCAGTTCAAGCGGGCAACCAATCGAGATCTCGTCTGCAGAGGAGTCGTCAAGCGATGATTCTAGCATGGATATAGACTCCAATCAGCATCCGGGCTCCCATCAGCCCACCGCACCCTTACCGCCGCCACCGGTGCAGGACGAGGATAAGATGGAACTATCCGACGACCCCATATCCGATTCCGACGCGCAAAACACTCCCCTACCCCCACCAACGTTCGATGAGTACGCAGACCTACAGTACCCCGTCGTCCGACCGTCACCCGGACCACGATACGAAGGCCAAACCGACGATGAAGAAGAGGATCTTACCCTCCAATCCCCACTCTACCCAATTCCGGAATTCGAAGAGAGACCAGATGATGAGAACGAAGACCTCACCCTCCAATTACCACTCTACCCAGGTTCTGAGTTTGAGCAACCACCAGATGAGGAAGAGGAACAAGACCTCACCCTCCAATTCCCACTATACTCCAATTCCGAATTCGACCACCCACCAGCCGATCACGTTGAAGACGAGCAAATGTCCATCGCCCCCACGTCACCAGGCTCAGGCGGCCTCTTCGTGCGCGACGAGACAGAAGCACAGAACTTTGAGGCGGCGTTGGCGTGGGAGGACGATGGTACGCAGCAGTCCGTCGCCGAATCTGAGCTTGGACGAGAAGAGGAGGATGCGATGACGTTTATCGCGTCTCCTTCTGCTGCACCTTCGTCGGCTGTGCCTACTTCGGCGGGTACGGGGCTGTTTGTGTCGGATGGGAGTGAGACGAGGGGCTTTGCCGGGGCTTTGGAGTGGGAAGAGGATGATGGGGATGATGATGACGATGAGGAGATGGAAGATGAAGGGGAGGGTGGTGTGGAGGTTAGGAGGCGATAAGGGTAGAAGAGATTACGCTTGGTGGTTGAAGAAGTCGGTTGAGGACTACAAAAGATGTTTGCTTGTACAATGGGAATATTACACTGGGCCTTCGGGACTTCATATGCTCGTTGTCTGTTTCTTTGTTCTTGTGTATTGAGTTGACGACTTCCGCGGTAATGTGAGTCGGCTACTACAAGCTTGCCAGTCTCTACGTGTTCTTCAATGGAGTTTTACCTCTTTCGGTGTCATCGCATGTACCGCACGGCAAAGGAACACAGCCAGATCGTCATAAGAAGAAGATACATTCGTTCAGGTCATAAAGACGTCGAGGATACGTAATAGGGAATCATAAAGAAAAGACAACCGACGAGAACGATACACCAATGCGACTCGTCCAATCGCCCAGCGCCAACAGCCAGCCACCTCCGATAACCACACCTTCCTACCACCATGTATCCACCTCAAGTATACACACTCTCAGTAAAAGAGTTAACCTGCAGCCCCCTCTCAGCCATATCCGCATTCTCTAAAAACTTCAACTGCATCCACACCAAATGCCCCTTGACACGGTCCAACTCAGCCCTAATCTCCTTGACAGGCCTAACCATGTCATACAGATGACCCTGCTTGTGTTCCTTGTCCCCAGACGGGTTCGGCGTAAACTTGTCGTAGTCCTCAAACGTAAGGATGTTGTCATCAGGATCAGCGTGGAACAGCGACCTAAACACCTCGGTGTTGGTAGTCGCGCGCTCGGTCCATTCGTCCCAGAGTTTGGATGACAGAGGGTCAGAGACAAAGTCTGCTTCGGCGCCGGGCATTGGGTCGTTCGGTGAGTTTTCGCCGGGGGGCTGCGCGTTGGGATCGTCGGCGGCGTTGAGGGCTTGGGGCGGGAGGAGGCCGAGATGTTCGCGCCATAAGCTGCTGCGGAGTTCGTGGGCGAGTTTTGCGGCTTTGTAGGGCTTGCCGTCCATTTCGGTGTCGATTTCTGCGGTGTCTTGTAGGACGATGGAGAGCTCGGAGTCGTGGAAGCCCAGCTGGGAGCGGTCGTTGATGTTGGAGGATCCGCAGATTACGGTTTTGTCGTCGACGATGCAGATTTTGGCGTGGATGTAAAGCTCCTCTTGGAAGAAGTGCTCTTTCTCCTCTTCTTCTTCGCCTTCCCAGGCTTCCTCGCTGGGCTTCTTTTCCGTAAGCATCGCGTCGTCGGCAATCGAGTCTGGGTCAATAACACCACCCTGGTCGCCTTTGCCTACATCTTCCTCCTCATCCATGTACGCTTTCCTCATCTCAGCGGCTTTGCGTCGTGCCTCGTCTCCTCCCTCTTCCGGCGGTGCTTCCAGCTCGTCAATCTCAGCTGCTTCCAGATCCATGTACGACTTCCCGGACTTCTTCTCGCGCTCCTTAAGCGTGGGGGTGACGTTGATGCGGTCGTACGAACGAAGGTTGAAGAAGAAAATGTACTTTTCTGGATCAACCCCAGCCTTTTTGATCTGTCCGTAGATGCTTTCTTCTCCTCGGCAGATACTTTTGAATTGATAGTCCATGATAGCTCGTGTTCCAGCAGCGGCCTGATCTCGAAGATCTCCCGCAAATCCCGGGATTGCTGGAATGACAATGACGATTTTGAAGTTGCGCTGCTCTTTAGCTGCGGAAACGATAGCGTCGACCATTGCAGCTCCGATCTGGTTGTGGACAGGGCTCTGGTCGTGTTTACCTGTTGCCGTGATGAAAAATTGATTCTCAATGTAGACGTAGTGTTGCGCGTTACGGATGACCTCGCAGTATGCGTTCTGGATACTCTGCTCGTGAGGATCAATACCCATACTCCAGTCGCCGCTACTCCTGACTAATTGCGCATGTACAGTTCCACGGTTGTCGAGGTTCTTGCTGTTCAGTTGTGTGAGGGGATGGTGCACATATTGGCCGACAGGGAACTTGGGCCGTTGCACTCCGATTAGATCTTCGTCGGCGCCTTCACGTCCTTCCATGGTGAGCCAATCGTATCTCTCGTCACGCTTGTACTTTTCTCGCTTCACGAAGTTCCATCGCAAGACGAAATGCTCAGCGATGTCGTAAACCGCTGGGCCAATGACACCCATTGCGACATCGTGCCATGGCATACGACCGAATTGGAGCTTGTCCAGCTTGTTCGATTTCCAGTCATCAACGCTCTCAAAGTCCATGATACGGTTATTGTTGTAGTCCTGACCCGGGAAGATTTGGTTTTGAACACCAGACGGGTGGGCATCGGCAAGCGGGTGCTGCTTGTCGTCCCATCGGCCGTAACACAAATCCAGTCCACCGATGAAGGCCATGGCATAGTCGATGACGATGAACTTTTCGTGATGCGCCCAGTAGAACGTCATGTCCGAAGCATTCTCGAAAACGTTGTGGTCAGGATGTCTCATCACCTTGATGTTTCCGTACCCAGGTTCGCCTTCTTCAAACAGGCCCATGAGTGCCTTCTTGGTGTGCTGGCTGTTGCATGTGAGAGCCGCAGAAACCTGAGTAAGTATAAGCTGCTGTTTATTTGACGCAGATTGATGACCTCACCTCCTTGTACACGGAAACATAAATCTTCACACCAGCCGCTGCACGGCGTTTGAGTACTTGGTCCAGTCGAAATTGTTGGTTATAGTAGGGTGGTCGCTTCAGGAAGAGCTCAGGGCTAAGCCACCAGTCCGCAATGTAGATGGTCTCTTTGGCTTGCTCCAATGCCTCGGCAACGGCCCAGAAGTAATCCCTACCATCGACATACCACTTCACCAAGTTGTTGTCGCGCTCTGGCGCAAAGCTATGGAAGCGGTGGTTCTCCGCGATCTTGCTCCTCTTGGCGTCCGTCTCCTTCTCATGCTCCTCGTCGTGGCGATGGTTGGCATTGAAGAGGTTGGTGAACTTGCCGATCTTATGCTTGATGTGCACAGCCTTAATATGCGCACCTCGTAACTTGGTGTGCTCGAGCTTTTGCTCAATCTCCTCAATCTTCTCAGAAGCGCGATGGTTGAAGGGATGGAAGAGCTTCTTGAGGCCCTTTTCTTGGGAGGGCATGTTGGCGACCGTGCGCAGCGATCAGCAATCGCGCGGGGTAGCGATGGTAGAGATGGTGAGGCTGGAGATGGAGGCTGAGGAGTGAGGCGTAGGCGACGGAGAGGCGATCGGTCGCGTGCACTGGTCTTGTACTGACCCACAGGGATGGAATAACCTGTATTCACTGTGCTGCACTTGGCAGGTAAATAGGCATGGCGCGATCTCAGCCGCCGGAGGGACCGATTGGTGACGTCATTGGCGGCTAGCCTTTCCGAGCAATAGCGATCATGCACCTCCCTTAAGCGTCCATCGTGGTTGAGGCTACCATCTGCCCGGGGGCTGGGAATAAAGACCCGAAAGCGATCCAGCACTGGTTTGCTGATGCCACTACCATAGCACTACAAGAAGCTTGTCTCCTCGGTAAAACCAATTGATCAGATCCAGCATGCGCGACATCATGACCATGGGAGTTATTTTTACCCCGCGTATTCGGCCCTCCGGCTGCTTCATCCCACCACTTCCGAAACTAAGCGCGTCCGCGCGGCAGAAAAGGCTAGTATGCAGCGCATGAGCTGAGAGAAAAGTCTGATGATCTGGGAGCTTTGACAAAGAGGAACGAGTGGGTTAAAGTGCATCTTCAAGACATCGTGAGATGGATCGCATGAGCTGCCCATGGCACTGCAAGACACGTTATCTGAAAGCTGGAGACTCAATAATCCTACAAACTAGTATTTACGATAAAGAGTCAGAACTATATCCATAGCCATGGTCCAACCGTAATCTCATCAGTTGGCCGAAAGCCTCCGGCAAACCACATCCTACATCAACACCCACCAAACATTGCTTCTAGTACGGTCTTAGTCGTAAGGTCATTAGTCGTAAATCGTGAATCCTGGGATGGCCATCCCAAAAACCGTTAACAAGACGCTGCGCTCCAAGAACTCAGGAAATGGGAGGAGAATAGACGTTAGTTGTAGCAGAATGGCAGTCGATCAAGCAACAACAACGACAGGCCAGCCGTCTTCCCAATCAAGATAGTTGTATCCAAAGAAGAACTGATCAGCTGCATAGCCGACACTCGGACGAACTGCATCAACATTAGCATGATCCAACTTATCATTACCAGTCTTCCACTTACCATAGTGATAGTACAACACGGTCCTCCCATTCTCAGGGTTAACCATAACGCCCTGTCCACCAGGTGCATAGATATCGCCGTGGCTAGCAAGGATAGTCGTACCACCATTCTCTTCAAGACAACTCTTGCCATCCTGATCATAGAAAGGCCCAGTAGGGACTTCCGAGCGGCATACAACAACATGGTATACCTGACCCTCAGGAGCAAGACCCCCTGGAGTTTCTGGCGTATTGCAACACATACCCACGCTGTAGAACATGTAGTAGAAGTCCTTTTCCTTCCACATGATAGCACCCTCAGCGACGGTAGCTCCATAAGTACTATTCCGCACCATGTTATTGATACGATTGTTCTGCTCGGCCCACCCGCCAAAAGCCATGAGATCGTCGTGTGGGAAAAGCTCGACCTGGAAGATGTCGTCCCAGAAGGAGCCGAAGGTGAAGTATATGGGGTCTTTGGGCGTCTCTTGGAAGACAAAAGGGTCGATGAGGTTGTACTTGTCGGATAAGGGTAGGCCGATGTCGCCGTGGTCTTGCCAGCTACCGGGCTCGAGGGACTGCGATGTTGCGACGCCGATGGAGGAGTTTTGGAGGCCGATTCGGGAGACGGAGTAGTGGCAGTAGAAGGTATCGCCTCGCTTCATTACTGAAGGTGCCTGTTGTGTTGGTTAGAATGATGCGTGGCAGATTAAGATCTAGTAGAGGGAGAATGAACTTACCCAGATGTCTTGGTCCGGATGGACTTGAATGCTGGTACCGTTTTGTAACAACGCGCCTTCATATTCCCATGGTCCTCCCAGGGATGGCGCACTAGCAATGGCAATGTTGCCGCTGGTCGAGAAACGCCAGTACCTATTGTTCTCATATATGACACTAGGGTCATGAATCCAAGAGCAGTTGCCGCGACATGGCTCTGGGTTGGGATAGTAGCCATCAGTTTTAGGACTGCCAGCTTGAGGGTCCTGAGGATTAGGATTAGGATTAGGATTTGGCTGAGGACGCGGTACGGGAACTGGGTTTGCGACTGCGCTCGGTGTGAGGAATGGAATGAAGGTAGCGCTGGTTATCAGGAGCGCAGTAAGGAATGCAGTCGTAAACCTTGCCGGTCCCGAGTCCCGGATGGTGCTTCCAAAGTGCCTCATGACCGAAGATGAGTAGTAGTAGCAAGTATTGAATTCTATGGGTGTTGAAGGAATAGATGCTCAATCGCAGATTTTATACAAGGAAGGTGAAGTACGTCAGGGGTCACGAACTGACACTTGGAGTCGAAGGCAGCTTCGTTTGCAACCACAATAGAGGGCTGACGGACCTGCCTGTTTCTGACGCTCACGATGTAAACGGCGGTGGGATTGGCTTCCTAAGGTGTAGTTCTCGTGACCAGGGTGCATGTAAAGGTTGTATAATGTGAGCGGGGATTGGTCGACGGAAGTCTGGTGCGAGCCCCCGCGACCAGCTTTCATTGTGTGAAGAGCGCATAATTCCATCATGAGACGTATTTTTCTCGAACTAGAAAAGTCAGATGTGCTCTTCAAGCCCCGGAGCTTCGGCCTCGTATATACAGCGGTGAGAGAGAGTGGTGGCAAGCAAAGCCTAGGCCGGTAGCAGTACCCCGTCCGCAATGGAGCGCATGAAGAGAGTCGTGTGACATCGTCGAGCGTGCTTTCTTTCGAGCACCGTGGACCTATGGTCTGTAAGCACGCAATACTTGGAGGTCGTGTACGTATTCGGATGCGTGAAGTGCCGATACTATCACGATCTCTGCGACACCGTTGGCCAATGTACCGCTTGAGTAGTACCAGTGATGTCAGGGGCTGTTCCCTCAGGCTTTGTGCGCTGGAGATGCGATCTTCGTGGACTAGTTTCGATTCGTTGCCTTATTTGGTACTGGGACTTGAGTGGAACGTTGCTCCACTAGATCCAGTGGCCGCCATTACAGCTGAATGAACGCCAAACGTTTCATTTGTTCCGCGATGCTGGTATTGCCACATGGGAGTCCTTAGTTCTCGATAATGACACCACCGATCGTCATTAGTATGCTATGTGGTCGTATTGACACGTACCGGATTTGAGTCAAACCCTCTGGTCGGGCGCAACGTGGCAACAGCCACAACATCGTCGCCGTGTGACGATACATACTCTTGCAGCCAATCCTTTACGTTTTGTATTCCGAAGTAAGCATATCGAGGTATACTCCTGCCGTTACATGTTGTAGTGCCCAGAGTATCAGTATTAGTGGAAGGTAGCCATCCTTACTGCAGTGTCAATGAGCAAGACTTGTATCGACATGAAGTTTTAAATGCGGTGTAGTGTTGGAACGAATCCTGTCATTCGGTATTGGTCGTGCAAAGGCTCTGCACGAGAACCACATATTTGTCTACCTGCCTCTTTCGGTTTTGCGTTCGTATTTTACCTGCTCCTTGCCGGTAACTAGTTGGGCGCCTTGTAGCCTTCGACGTCGGTGCTGTTACTCCATTTTTCAAACTTCTTGACACTCTCGTTGTAAGTTTCAAGCTTCTTGTTGAGAAGGCTGTACGCGTCGGTTCCAACTACGCATCGGATAGGCGGGTCGTCCATGACGGCCAAGTCGTAGAACACCTTGGCAGCCTTAGCCGGGTCTACGATGAGTTTGTTAGCGGCCGTCCGGTATGTAACAGTTCGACCATGACGTACCTCCTGCTTGAGAGCCATGGCGCCCTTGGGCCTGCTTCTTGGGATCGACGTCTGAGTAGGCCGGGTTCGAGATCTCGCCGAAGTCCATGCTGCGACCTGACCAGTCGGTTCGGAAGCCACCAGGTTCAATGCAGGTAAACTTGATTCCCCACTCGGGCTTGACTTCCTTGGAGATCGCCTCTGTGAATCCTTCCACTGCCCATTTGCTGGCGCAGTAGATGGAAAAGTTAGGTACACCTAGCGGGTGTCAGTCACCATTATAAAGAAAGAGTAGGCATTAGACTCACCAATCTGACCGCCGATTGAGGTCACTTGCTGGATGACACCTCCAGACTTCAAGTCTCTCATTGTCTCCATAGCCTTTCTTGTTACATCGATCAAACCAAAGAAGTTGATCTCCATTTGCTGTCTGATCTGCTTCTCTGACAGGGTCTCGAAAGGCCCGTTCAGGCCGTATCCGGCATTGTTGCAAACCACGTCGATCTTCTTGAACTTCTTGACAGCCGTATCGAACGCATTGTCGATGGACTCTTTCTTGGTTACGTCAAGATCCACGAGCAGACTGTTCGAATCGTTGGCACCCTCGAAAGATAGCTTGGAAGAGTTGCGTGCGGTAGCGACAACGTAGTCACCCTTTTGCAAAACAACCTTGACGAACTCTTCGCCAAAGCCAGTGGAGCAGCCAGTGATGAGGAAAACGCGGGGTGCCATGATGACAATGTTAAGGCGAAGATTTGAGGGGTGGTGATTTAGAAAGATATGCAAACGTTGCAATGAGCCTCCCGACCGCTGCAGTGGCTCTTCATATACCTAGAGGATAGACGACGTCAAGTGCGGCCAGTATCATTACGTCAGAATGCATCAAAGGTAAGCGTACGGTGTTAGCGGAGTCGAACCGGCAGCGACTAAGGATGGGCGAGTCGCTCTAGATCTGCCATATACCATGTTGGCGACATCTGCAGGCCTGCGACGGTAGCTCGTTCGGGAACATAGTGGGTGACGTCGGCCTACATGGCAACGGTATCTCCGGCTAGGACCGTCGCGCATCTGATCCCCATGCCGTATTCATGATGCTTCGAGATAGCATTGCCCGAAGAAGATATTCAGAGACTTGAGAAGCGCTGAAGAGAGTTCACGGAGATGGAGCGGCGAAGTCGATGTGAAGCTGTTGTTGGCACGACCGCACCTTCTCATTGCGGGGCGTCTTGCATGAGGCCATGGCAAGATGTGCTCGGATCAAACAGACAAATGACTGAGATGAGTGGAGAAGATACAGTACAATTGAAATATCGAGCACCTGCGCGTGGAGGGTGGTGATGGCTGATTGGTGTCAGGCTGAAAGAGGATAGTTAATGGGAAGGAACGCGTGACGGAAGGAGACTAGCGCGACGCGAATTGGTGTCGCGAAACTGGTGCCCCTCGAAGCGCTCACCGCAGCAACAGCCCAAACAATACACCCTCCATATACCCACTTCGAATACCCCCTCTTACGCTGCATTGAAGTTCTTTTTGCAGCGATCGGTCACCTTCTGCCCCGAAAGTCACATAATACACCATGGCCGAGGTCATCAGAGACGAGGAGGTGCGTAGGCGCGTGCGTCTTGCGCAAGAGTTCCTCGACCCAGGTATGTCAAGACGACTGTTGGAACGATGCGAATACTGACTATGTTGCAGATGATGTCTCCAGACGAAGGTATGCAGCAGCCATCCACCCCATAGAGCGCGCACTGACCGCTCCAGCTACCGCGCAGACATTCTGGTGATGCTCAACCGAGGACTGCGAAGACTCACAGTAGGTGTTGTATGCTACATGCGTCTACGCATACTTACCATATCCAGGTCAGCATAGACGAAATCCGTTCACATAACCGCGAACTCGCCGACGGCCTCCTCAACTCGCCCTTCGAATTCACAGAAGCCTTCGACCGCGCCCTCAAAGACGTCGTCCGCACATTCACCGACCGACCCAAGTCCGAGACAAGCGACGATGTGGTATACTACTGCGCGTATATCGGCAGCTTCGGCGAGTACTCGTGCAACCCGCGCACCCTGGGCTCAAACCAGCTGAACCACATGGTGTCGCTCGAGGGAATCGTCACCAAGACGTCTCTTGTGCGGCCCAAGGTGGTCAAGAGCGTGCACTACAACGAGAACAAGCAAAGGTTCCATTCGCGAGAGTACAGAGACCAGACCATGACCACCGGCGCTGCGAGTACGAGCGTCTACCCGACCGACGATGGCGAGGGCAACCCACTCGTCACCGAGTACGGCTACTGCATCTACCGCGACCACCAGACCATTTCCATCCAAGAAATGCCTGAGCGTGCCCCTGCTGGTCAGCTGCCGCGCTCCGTCGATGTCATCTTGGACGATGACTTGGTAGATCGTGTGAAGCCGGGTGATCGCATACAGATGGTCGGCATATACCGCTCACTCGGTAATCGCAACGCTGGTGCCGGGAGCTCGACTTTCCGCACCCTGATCCTAGCGAACAACGTTATCCTCCTCTCTTCCAAGTCCGGCGGTGGCATCGCCCAGGTTTCTATCACCGATACCGATATCCGCAACATCAACAAGATATCCAAGAACAGGCGCGTCTTCGAACTCCTATCGCAATCACTAGCTCCATCGATCTACGGACATGACTATATCAAGAAGGCGATTCTGCTGCTGCTCCTGGGAGGACAAGAGAAGAACCTCGAGAACGGCACTCATCTGAGAGGAGACGTCAATATTCTCATGGTCGGTGATCCCTCAACTGCCAAGTCGCAACTGTTGCGTTTCGTTCTGAATACCGCCCCGCTTGCCATTGCTACAACGGGTCGCGGTTCGTCTGGTGTCGGTCTCACGGCAGCTGTCACATCGGACAAGGAGACGGGCGAGCGGCGTCTCGAGGCTGGTGCCATGGTTCTCGCTGACCGTGGTGTCGTCTGTATTGATGAATTTGACAAAATGTCCGATGTCGACCGTGTAGCTATCCACGAAGTCATGGAGCAACAGACCGTTACCATCGCCAAAGCCGGCATCCACACATCGCTCAATGCTCGTTGCAGTGTCATCGCAGCTGCCAACCCCATCTTCGGTCAGTACGATATCCACAAGGATCCACATCGCAACATTGCTCTTCCCGATTCTCTGTTATCGCGTTTCGATTTGCTGTTCGTTGTAACAGACGACATCGAAGATGCACGCGACCGTCAAATCTCTGAGCATGTCCTACGCATGCACCGTTACCGCCAGCCTGGTACTGAGGAGGGTGCACCGGTCCGCGAGGAGGGCTCTCAGCTGCTTGGTGTTGGTCTTGAGACCGACGCTGATGCAAATCGTCCGACGGAAGTCTACGAGAAATTCAACCCCATGTTACATTCTGGCGTTACAATCACCGTCGGACGTGGCGCAAACCGAAGGACCGAAGTCCTCAGCATACCCTTCATCAAGAAATACATTCAATATGCTAAGCGCGAGAAGCCAATCCTTACGAAAGGCGCTGCGGATCATATTGTGGCAACATACTCTGCACTACGAAACGACGAGCTAGACGCCGGTACCCGCCGTACTTCCCCCATCACCGCACGTACTCTCGAAACACTCATTCGTCTTTCCACCGCCCATGCAAAGGCACGTTTGTCGAAGCGGGTAGAGCAGAAAGATGCAGACGTCGCAGAGCAGATCCTCCGTTTTGCCTTGTTCAAGGAGGTCGTCGAGGACGACCGCCGCAAGCGAAGACGAACAGTTCGCGACCCAGACGCTATGTCTACAGACGGAGAATCTTCCGGCGGCGACGACGAAGACGGTGATGAGCAAGAAGCCACACAGTCTCGCCGCACCGGTGGGCCATCGACCCGCAGCCAGCGTACAGAGACCACGCGCACTCCTGCAGCCGAGGAGGAAGAAGACAACGAGGACCTTTACAATGTCACACCGAGGACCCAACGCACGACTGACCGTACACAGTCCTCTCGCGCCGGTCAATCGTCGCAGGTCAGCGCTGCTTCTTCACAACCCGAGTCGCAACTACCCGCCACACAAACCGAATCGCAGGAATCGCAAGGCATTACACCAGCACGTCTGCAGGTGTTCCAAACAGCGCTTGGTCAGCTCATCGACGGTCCGCTATTTGCAAACGATGCTGCAGATGTCGAGCCGCTGGTTGCTGCTGTAAACGCAAGACTCGGTGGTGGTAATGGACGCGAAGCGTTTGACGAAGATGAGGCTGAGAAGGCACTTGAAGCTCTTAGCGAGAGGAACAAGATCATGTACTCTGGAGGTATTGTGTATAAGATTTAGAGAGCTTGACTGGATTGAATACATGATCGAATGTGGATATGACGCGATGATTATTGTTTTTGTTGTCAGTTCGGAGTCTCATGGCGTTTTTGATCGGAATTCGGATTCATTGGCGCGATTCAACGATTCGTTACTTCAAATGCGAAGAGTTCCTCGATATAAGCATGATCAAGTGTTGAGTTCTGAAACTTGACCAACATTCCCAATCCCGTTTTCTCACGATGTTTACCGCCGGTTAGGCAAGACATATCTGGGGACTAGGACGCTCGGTTGCTGACACCCCCAATAAGGGTTTTAGCAAATAGGACCGGAATGATGGGGGGCCAAGATGGAATTAGGCAACCCAGCCTTGTACACCCCGAACATAAAGGGAGAGACTGTTTGTCGGTCCTTTGAAATATGGCTTGATCTCCATCCTTGTGGGCTGACATTTTATCATTAACAACGTCGCGAATCGGCAGATGTACCAACCATGCGCCTCACCGTCCCCATCTTCATCTCGTTCACATCCGCTACCATACGCGCCTCACCCGACACACGCACCTGCTACGACGTCTCCAACTCCATCGCACCAAACCACCACCCCTGCATCTCACCCTCAACCCAATCCATCTCCCACTGCTGCTCAGCCACCGACACCTGCCTCGGCGACACCCTCTGCCTGAGCCAATTCGGCACCCTCTACGTCGGCAGCTGCACGACCAAAGACTGGAAGGACGGTGCGAACGGAAAAGGGTCGTGTCCCAAATACTGCGCCAACGATGGGAACGATATCGGACTGTGCAGTTGGAACAATGGCTGGGAGTTTTGCTGCGGCTTGCTAGGGCAAGGGAGTGAGGAGTGTTGTAAGGGGGTGAGATTTATGTTGGATGGGAATACGACGAATGAGTTTGTGGTGCAGAGACCTTGGGGTGTGGATGCTGTGGCCGAGGGAAGCGCTTCTTCTTCTTCGACTCTGAATCCGACTGCATCATCGGTCTCGCCACAATGTCCTACTTTCCCCGCCAACGCAACCGAGGACGGTAGGAGCAAAGATAACAAGATTCCCGTCTCCCAGATTGGTCTGGGTGTTGGCCTCGGCATACCTCTGCTCATGGCGCTTGGTCTGCTTTTTTGGGAGAACAGAAAACGCCGGTATGTGGAAGCGAGGTTGGAGATGTCTCGAGGCGAGTTGCTGGTCGGACATGCGGGTTATGCAGCTTCGAATGAAGGCAAGCCTGGCGCGTATGTGGGCGTCGAGAGCCACGAGGTTGATGGTTTGGAACAAAGGAATGAGCTGTCGTCTGAAAGACCACTGTATGAGTTAGCGCACGGTGGCAGATAGCTTTCATGATACATGATGTATGATGCCTGCAAGCAGGAGTGGATATGCAACGGAAAGAAGGTGGTCGATGTTTATTTCATTCATTGGTCATATCATCATCTCTTTGTACATCCCAACATGCCCTAATGCTTTATACAGGAGAGTCCTGCTTGGCAAACTGCCTCGCGAGCGCCTCAATGCTATCCACAATCCTCTTGAACTCATCCTTCTGCTCTGGAGCAAGCTCTCCGCCATCCATGGCAGCATCGTCATCCTGGTTGCCCCACTGGATCTCCATTGTGTTGAAGTCGACCTTGGTGTCTAGGCCGTAGACGTCCTTGCTGGGGTGCGAAGGGAAGCCGCGGAGTGTGGAGATGAGAGACATGAGCTCCTTGACGTCGTCTCTGCCATGGGATTAGTAAAGGGAATTTGGTATGAAGGGGACTGTGAGGGACGTACTGTGGTACATCGCCCTTCTTCTCTGATGACTTGGAGTTGCCGTTGTAGTTGGACATGCGGATGCTGGCTGGGCGGTTGGGCTCGCCGATGACCTCGATCATGTGTGTGGGTGCGCCTGCGTATCATGTCAGTACGAAAGCTGTTTTCATTGCGTGTCAACAAACTTACCGGAGAAAGGCTTGCTAAGCACAACCTGGAACTCTCCAGAAGGCGGGGGTGCGACCATGCGAGGCATCTTGATGTGTAGTTTGTGTGGTTTGGTCTAACAAGTATCGAGAAGTTTGAAGCTTTCGAGTTACAAAGTGCGTAACTGAATAGTTGTTTCAATTGAAGGTGGTAGATGAAGTTTCAAGCGGGGTACGAAAGCGTGGTGAGGGGAGGTTTTGTAGCAAATGCCATATGCCATCATCGCATGCAGGTACCCACACTAGTTTTGTTCTTGATGTCATGATGAATCGCGGCTGCCGATGTGGACCGCGAAAGTTTCCCTTTTCTTTTCTCCACCTTTTGCGATGAGCCGTCTGAATGACGATGCGATGGGAATGTTGGTGCTCAGATTCTGCACGCGGTTTTGATCGAGATCGTGTGTTGTCGCGTCGTCGCGTAACGCGTGCGCGTGAACACGGGGTATGACATCACCAGCCCTTCGCATGTCTCTACCCAACTTCGACACGCATTTGCTCGTGTCAATGCCTCTTTCTCGGAGTCACCGTCTCGACATCATGCAGTAGTACCTCTTCAGGCCTGTTCTAGCTGCATCAAAGAAGCTCGGTCCGACGAAGCTCTACAGCCTCCCCGCATTGAATGATTGCTTTACCATCTCGATCAAATACCCCAGGCTCGTTTGGCTGACCTTGACTAGACAGAACAAGCTCCAAGATCATATCAGCCAGCTCTTTCGGAAGTTTCTTACCCACAGCTCGATACACGTTGAGCTTCGTCTCAGTGTACGCATGTCTCTGTAGAAGATCAAGTGCCACCGCAGTGTTAACACGTACACATCCTCGTTCTGCTCGAGCGCTTGGTCTAGACGTAGGAATGTGATTGCAATGGTGATAATGATTGTAGAAGCGGCGAATAGACTGACAAAGATAGGCTGCATCGGGTTGTCGTGCTTGCACCTCACCACTGTCTCTGCGATGAGCTTTGCGATGTCGTTTTTTCGACTGTAGAGTGTTTCTCAAGATTCTGTCGATTTGACGATTCGCGTTCTGATGAGCCTCGTTGCAGACGAATGTAAAAGTTCCATGCAGGCAGTCCAGTTTTGCATAGACACAAAGGTCCAGTGCTGGTAGCTCACCGTCTTCAGCGACGGTGATGTGTTCAATCATGGCCAGCATCCGCGGAAAGAAGACGGTTCTAAACAAATGCTTATATTCCTCCAAGTATTGATGCTGGGGCCAGAGTTTCGAACGATGCAACGCCGTGCGCATCGTGTCTTTGAGATAACCAGCGCATGCTTTGGCGTTCCGTGGCGGATGTGCCTGAAGTAGCGCTAAGAAATTTTCATGTGTAACGTCTGTGATTGCGCGCACAGAGTAAGTACAGCAGCATTCGCGCAAAGAAGCATCACACTCACCAACGGAAAATGGGTTTTTATTAGGTCGGTCATCGCAAGAAGAATGCAACAGTTGCTCGAGTGTTGGAGTGTCGAGAGAGGCCGTCCTATGTAGCTGCTTTAAAGGCTGCCATATTTTGAGGTTGAAAGCACGATAGGCAACAGACTTTCGGGACTTGTGGGAAGTTTGCTGCTCGCTGGCGTCTGGCTCTTTTTGCGCCGAGCGAAAGGTTCGCGTCATTGTTACAACTAGCTTTTCTGGCTTATGAGTACGTGTTAATTTGTTCTTTCTGGGCGCGTGTTATATTTCGTCCCCTCATCAAAGTGAACGTAGCCAAGTATGAGTAGGGGTGAGATTTTAGCACGATCCTTGATTGTTGGCCCCGGTCGTGCCGCAATGCTGCATAAGGGGACTAAGCTGACTTTAGACGCCTTGGAACTCCCTCCCGCGAAGGCTTGCGTTTGTTGCAATGTCTTTTTGCTGGGCTGTTGGTGCTATGTTGAGAGTTGTGCTGCGTGGTTGATGCAAACAGTGGGGTATGGGGCTGCCCAGATGTCGTGAAGCGCGCTAGCTCAAGTGGCAGCTACGGCAGTAAAGTTACATTACCAGACCATGAATACACGCGCAACTCGGGGTCCCTAGTCCATGCGATAAACTTTTTGATCGCCCTAAGCAAACCAATGTCATCGAGCAGATTACGGAACTGGCAATGGATGACTATTGGGTATATTAAATTTGAACTGGACATATCTCACACTCGCGACTTCCACCATCTACCTATGGCCAATCATGGTATAGCTCATCTCAAGTTGTTTTCGCCTTGCCAGTTGACGCTCCATTTTCCTGTACTACCGCGCTTTCATCCCCATCGCCCTCAACCTTCCCTGGCTTCGCAAAGGCAGCACCAAGCAGATGAATCGGGTTGTTCATCCTTGTCATCATAAGATAGAGCAGAGTAAGTCCTGTGACAACAACTTCGTCTCTCAGAGCCTCTGTAACCTGCTCTTCTGTCTCCTCAAAGTAGAAGTTGCCGACTTGCTTCATCGCCCATAAATTGACGCCGAACTTGGCGATAGATTCCTGGGTCGCGGAGTTTATGCATACGAAATCCCAGACCTTCATGGTAGAGTTGGCTGTCCAGGTAATAGGGATGCCGCCAAGCGCATGCGAGAGGTAATTGTATTTGGTCTTCCAGCGTTTCAGTGGCTTCAGAATGACTTCCTGGCCATGAATGATGCAATCGCCACTGATGGAGAAACTGTCTAAGCGTTGAAGTACTGCGTCAGAGTGTGTCTTCCATGTAGTACAACCAAACTTACGGATGGTGCCTTTGGCGATGATTGCGTGATCTGACGCGCGCTCGAAGCGCAACTGAGGCTTTGCCGGGCGAAAATGCTGAACGTAGAGCGGCGTGAGCTGTTGATCAGCGCCTTTAGAAGCTACTATGTTGCGGAACTTTGACCAAGCGAAATCGACTTGGAGAGTGAGACCGCTTGAGGATAGAGGGCCCATGGACTCAACGGGCTCAGCGGGCTCAGCGAGCTCTTTCGATGCCCTTTTTGGTGGCTGAGAAGTGTTGGGAGGGAGTTCAGTATGGGTTAACATGATGTGCTAGTAGATGCCTGCTTTTTCGATGTTGGAATATGGAAAATCAGCCGTAACCGCAGCGGCCGTTATGAATTCGAAAACTGTCAAAGCGCGGTCACTCGGAGGTGGTCAGGCGGTGAGGTGAAGGTGAAGACGCGCACTTTTGAGAACGGAGATGCAAACGCGCACTAGAGGTGATTTCGATGTGCGTGATATATGTATTGGAGTTTGCGGAGTATGAACATCGTGCGTTTGTGTGCCTTGCTTAGCCACTCTTCTGGCTTTGGACGCCTTACCATGCCTCAATATTTCCTAGAACGGAATAGTGCTTAGCAGCAGACGGCGATGTAATACAGCGCAGCACATCTTCAATACTGATAAAAGTATATGGGCTGTCTTATGAAGACACAGCCAAGGTGGCGCAGAATATCGAAGGCTTATCTGGGTGTCGCTAAAAACTATCTGTATGGACAGGTCGTGAGAAGAGGAAAGAGGCTGGGAGTGCAGCTGCTGTACAGTGGCAGGTGGGCCCACTTAAGTGAGATGTCGTCATAGCTCACGGCCACGACTCCGTCGACACCCACACCCCACTCAGCATGTCAGCATCTCCACGCGCGCAACGAAAAGAACTATTCTCAGTGTTCTGTACGACAGGTTGCGAAAGAGTTATGAAGATCATGGGGCGCCTATCAGCCGTAATGCACACCGCCGGTCAAAGCAGCCCAAGCGTGGGGAATGCACGGCGGACAGGAATTACACTCCCCAGCACTCTCACCCGGCTACCAACCAGTATGGCACACTGACCTGCTCGCAGGTATCGCATCGGTTTCAATACACCTTGGAATCCTTCATACCAAGAAAGGAGCTTGTCGACTATGCTGCATGACACCGCCTCTTCCAGACTTCGACCGGCGTCATTACTCCACGCGAGGAAGATCTTCAGCAGGTATCGTGAGTAACTTGGTGGGATATCTTCCGCGGACGGCTCAGACAGCAGTTTCGAGGCCCCTTCGAAGCGGCTCGCTTCTAACGCTGCGCTGTTTGAGTGATTCGGCAATACGGCAACAGATGCCCTCTCGCAGTGCGAACCACAATTCTCGATCACTAAAACACACCAAACGATTGTGGTCTCACAGATTAATCAATGATGTTAGAGTACTTGGCTGTCTCGCCGGGCGCACTGAACCTCCATCCCGCGGATAGTTACCCGCATGATGTGCAGCGCGGCAACAGAGAGGCCCAAGTATCGCCCAGTTCTGCCAACAAAGTTGAGTGCTTCTTTTAGCTGGGCCTATCGCGCGTCCAGAGAAAATCAAAACGCTGGGCGATACTCATAATCTCCCACGCCTGCAATGGGTGACGATTACTGATGATGCTCGTGCGGACGCGTCCCCAAGCCAAGTGTCGATCGGGATGCCACAGCTGCAGGACAAAGATCTGCAAAGGAGGCTCTGCTGTTGCGTTGTCGCAATGCACAACATCACTACTGGGTGTCGCGCTCCTTTGCCTAGCAGGGTTTGTTCTGTATTTGGCACAGCGGACTTGGCGGACTTGGCAGGGAAACTCTGTGCAGAGCCACTAATCTCCGCCAAATCGAGACGCCCATCGGCATTGTCATGTTGAGACGCTTGCCGAGCCGCAATGCTCACAGCCGGACAAAAGAACCTGCGCCGTTGTGTGTTCCTCATTTGCGCCAATCACCGCGTACAAGGTCAACCTGTCTCAACAGCTCCTGTGTCTCAACCTTGAATGTTTCCCCGACGTCCACAGGTGTAACATGACAGGGTCAAAGGGAGCCTTAAGGCGGAAAGTCCCACACGTCGCGTTCGAAGCTAGCGCTACAGATGAGCTTGGCACCATCCGCCATAGCCCATTCACCGCTTGGCTCCGGTCGTAAGCCTCCTAATGGCGGGAGTGGCTGCTAAGCCAAGAATGTCCTGGCGGCTGCTGTTTCAAGTCAACGAAGTGCATTGTGTCCGTGACGCGTGTAAAGATATGAAGTAACAAGGCTCAGCACCCAAGAACTTGGAAATCGAGGCTGGCATTCCCTATCACTGCGCTCGCAATTCTCTCCGAACCAGTCCGGGAAATCCCTCGTTCTCCATCTTTTTGCACTTGCTTATATTGGTTTTAATCGACTTGTAAATACGGCTGGTCTGCTATTTACAGTTACTCGCTCCCGCTGGTCGTCTTCATTCCACACCCTTTTTTCTCAACCCTTACTGTTGTTCCTTCCGCGCATGAATCCTTGAAAACACTCCTTCCGTCTTTTCCGCTTTTCGCCTACAGGGCCATTCACCATGCCTTCCCTCGATGTTAGCGAGCTTAACATCGTCATCGCCGTCCTAGGTACGTTCGACAGGCTAAAGTCGACAGGCAGACACTGACGTTCGAGTGCAGGCGCTTTCATCATTCTATACGGCTTCATTTCAGTCAAGATCAAGCAAGTGTGGTATCTTGGTGAAGCTTGTAAGTACACAACCGCCCGACGCAGCGCCGTCGTTCTTCAAAGCAGTGAACTCATTCTTTACAGTACCTGCCGTTCTTATCGGTGTCATCCTAGGACCGATAGCTGCCAGATTCCTAGATGCGGAGAAATGGGGCTCAGCTGCCACGGGGCAGCAAGAAGCTATCACGCTGGTGAGCGCAAATTCACAAAACCCCAATATTGAACCCTGCTGAGCATCATATAGGGCATGTGCCGAATCGTCATTGGTGTGCAGCTGGTCATCGCTGGATTCCAACTCCCTGCCAAGTACCAACAAGCCCGATGGAAGGAGATGGCGATCTGCCTTCTCCCTGTGATGACAATTATGTGGATCTGCACTAGCTTGTGCATTCTCGTCACAGTTCCCAAGCTTACCTTCTTGGCTGCGCTTGTTATCGGATCCTGCGTTACTTGCACTGATCCTATCTTGTCGCAAGCCGTAGCCAAGGGACCCTTTGCTGACAAGTTTGTTCCTCGCGCGCTGCGAGAGATCATCTCGTCGGAAGCTGGTGCTAACGATGGTTTCGGTTTCCCTTTCCTGCTGTAAGTCTCACAACCCTCCAACTCAAGAAGCTTCTCTGACGAGTCGAACAGTTTGGCTACGTACCTTATTCGCCATGCCGAACTTGATGGTGTCGAGTTTAAGACCGGCATAGAAGGTGCCAAGGAAATCGCCCACCGGGCAGTCAACATGCTCTCCAAGCGCAGCGAAGAGGGAGTTGGTCGTCTCGGTGGCGGTGTCCCCATGGCCATGGAACAGTGGATTGTTGAGGGATGGCTGTACATCATCGTCATGTCCGTCGCAATCGGTGTCATTCTCGGCGTCGCCAGTATGTTCGCCGTCAAGTTCGCCCTGCGCAAGAAGTGGATCGACTCCGAGAGTCTTCTGCTCTGGCCTATGGCTCTCGGCTTGTTCACCATTGGCGTTTGCGGCGCGCTCGGTACGGACGACCTCCTCGCTTGCTTCGTCGCCGGAAACGTCATGAACTGGAACGGAATCTACCTCGAGGAAACCGAGAAGCGCCATGACGAGGTCAACAGCTGTTTCGATGTCATCCTCAACTTCGGTGGTTTCATGTACATCGGAACCATCATCCCATGGGCCGAGTTCCAGATGCCAGATGTCACCGGTATCACCATTGGAAGGCTCATGATTCTTGGCTTCCTCATCCTCGCTTTCCGTCGTATTCCAGCCATCTTCCTGATGTACAAGGTCATGCCCAACGTTGTCAAGGACTGGAAGGAGGCGCTGTTCATGGGTTACTTCGGACCCATTGGTAAGTTGCATCGATCCTTTCAGATAGTGACATGAACTAACGCTTGTCAGGTATCGGAGCCGTCTTCTACGTCGAGCACACTCGTCACCTTTTCCCCAAGCCAGGCGAGGCCGAGACTGAGGAAGAAGAGAACCTTGTCGCAGCCATGATCCCAGTCGTCTACTTCCTCGTCGTCTTCTCCATCGTCGTCCACGGCCTTTCCATCCCCGCCCTCGATGCTTTCTACCGTTACAAGAAGATCCCAGCGATCGAAGAGTCTGAGCCCGCAGAGATTCGCGTACGATCTATCCACGAGGCCCTTCCTAAGAACACCAGGATGGACTCCAAGCGCGGCTCGGTCTACCAGCACAACCGCTTCTCTCGCCCAGTTTCTATGGGTCCTGGCCCGGAGCTGTACAGGTGGAACAACCAAGTCAGGGATAGCGAAGCCACGTTCAGGTCAAACTCCCAGGTGCAAGCTGTTGATTACGCAGAGAAGCTGCAAACTATCCGGTTCCAGGAAGACTATGCTCATGAAAAAGCAAACTTGGGCCGGTAGATTGGTGTGAGCTGGGACATTTGACATGTCGCACTCCCGGGTGGCTATCCCTATCTTTGGTGGAAGGCCTGTCAAGGGGCAATTAGAGAATTCGGTACGCGCCAAGGGTCAAGCAGAGGATGCGCGCAGAAGGAAGGGGAGCCGTTAGAACAGTGTATTGGTTGGATCGCTCATTTTAGGATTGGAACACAATCAGGGTTGCTCCCTATCGTTTACCATGCTTTTTGTCACTCGTTTAGACCTGTACAACATAGACTGACGTTGAATTACGCGTATTTGTCCGCACGCCAGTCCCAAAACTACGCCCAATGCCCACCCTCACCACCAGCTCTCAAGTGCAAACTTCAAAGTCGTCACCACAATCCTCACGATTAATATCAACGCAGGAATCCGACGAGACCCCCAGCTTCAAGACCCAGTTCCCCAGACCCAGATGTCAGGCCGATTCCCCTGTCGTTCACTGCCCAATCCGAAACAAGCCAAGAACGCCGCGGTGGAATCGCCAAGCCGTCATTGCCGTGTTACCCGTGCCGGTTTTCCGCTGTCCCTGTCACTTTCCTCCCCTTAACGCCCTCGCTCCCCGGAAAGGTTATCCATACAGTTTGAGTGTCAGGACTTCATTCTCAAACGTCTTGGGAGATTCAGTCTTTGTTCCCGATGAAAGAGGAGGTAATAATATGGAGATTATGTGTTGTTGCTAAATTGGGTATGGCGT